GATATATTTATTAATCTGTTTTTATACTCAAGATCATCTTAACCCTATATTACTCGCGTAGTTTTTTTAAACGTAATTTTAACGTTCGCATGGGGATATTTCTGACATCTTATTATTATATCTTAATTTTCATTATTTTTTCAAATAATTTACAATTAAATAAAGATTGATATAATATTCTATACATCTTTTAGATAAAAACATTTTTTTTTAATTGTGTAATCATTTGTATTAAATATAATGTGTATAAATAATATTCATATATTTACAGAATATGTATTTAAGGCCGGAGTGTCCTGGACATTCTATGTGAGTAATAAAGGGTTAAGTATTCAGATCTCCAGAGGACGTTCCTAGAACATTCCCAGAATGTTCCCGTGAAAAAATGCTATGCGAATACAATTTTAAGATGTCATAAACGACATAAATCGTATACAAAGTCATATTAGCATCTTAAAATATTATTTAAAACGGTCTTGAAATAACAACGTACCATAAATACCGGCATTTGTTTTAATTATTCTTAATCCTCGACTGCAGATCGCTACCACAGTCACGTACACATACAGACGGTGAGAGAGTCACGTGTTTGTGCTTTCACGTAACACAGGCACATACGCGCATATACACTCGCACACGTACATATACATATATCTTTATCTCCTTGTCTGACCATTAATCGCAATCCAATCGTTTAATTATACAGTTTCCGCCCTCTCTTTAAATGGGCCTCGCCTAATTGGGTGCCCAAGACTTCACGATATACGCGGAGGTATTGTATTACGCACACTCTGAAAAAATATCTCGGCGCTGTACATCGGAGCATATATCTTACAAATTACAAAGGGGCGTACACGAAGGAACGCTCGTCATGTCGATTTTCCTCGCGCTCGTTGATTAACGTTCGTCAACAGCGATCAATAACGGTCAATTACATCGTACGTTATTAATATTAATTAGCCACGAGAAAGAATGATGAAATACTGAAGATGTACGTACGCAAAATAAGAAATTAAATAATATATTCCAAATCTCGAAGTTCAGAAAATTCTACTTAATCCTTCAGAATTGACGATGGATCTATTGGACCTATTCAATTATAAATCTTTTTGTAAAAAATATAAATTAAACAATTCAATCTTGTTTATGTTACATTTTCAGAAATTTGAATTCTTGTTAAAATATTTAGTATTTCTTCTTTTTTGTATGAGTTCTCATTATGGTTCTCATTATGGTTTCCTTGAAATTAAGGATTTTTTAATTAACATAAATTAAATGAATCTTATAGACCCAACAGTTAGTAATTGTATTACAGATTCTAGCGTCAATTCTAGAGGAAATAAGGAAAGAGAGGATTTACGCGCCAGGCTCGTTATTCCTTTTCTTTCTCGTGCGCCACCGATATACAATTTCCCTGCGAACGTACCTCGTAATGTCATTAACGGTTTTGTCGATAACGATCCTTCGTGCCTGTTCTGTCGTCCTTCAGACAAGTAGGGGTTTAACCTCAGGCATCTCGCAGATAAAGTCTCTCTTTTCTCGATATCCTTATGTACAAGGTATTTACACTGTCTCCGCTGCGTAAATGCGACGAGGACATATATTATATATATATATATATA